AGAAAGACTTAAGTCCTAGTTAAAGAGGGGTGTTGTTATGGACCAACGATTGTATCCTTGTTTACTGATCCTGACTTGTGGTTACCTATTAACTTACCTAAGGATAATAATAATAATAATAATTTTGCCTATAATTTTATGTGACCAGTGCAATAAATTATAGAACCCAGCACAGAAATAGAGTGCTGTTGGGAGGAAAAATTGTTGTCAGAATAGGTTAAAAAAAAAAAAAAAGACGCTGGGTATAGGCACATCTGATTTCTGCCTCGTAGCAATAGGGAAGCCAAAGGAGGTCGTATGTGCCCTGGGTGACATTTATTGCACATCAAATTAAGGATCTTCCTTGTTTTCATGGATCCTCTACTTTACCAAGCTTAATGTCCTTCTCCAGGAACTGGTCTCATTGCATGTGTGCACAGTATGTGAGATGAAGTCTTGCTTGCTTCTAAGGTGAGCATTCCAGTTATATTTCTTTTAAGTCAGATGTGTTCGTTCTTCTGCCAGTCCATGCTATTTTCACCATTCTTTGCCAACACCATGGTCATTTATAGAAGATCCTTACAAATGCAATTGCAAAGTTGAAAAATAGATAGACAATTACATTTCACAAAATTCCAGGTAGAGGGCAGCAGAGTTTAGATTTTGCTTTACCTTTAGGTCTGAATACACTTGATGGTAGTGTATTCGCTACCTACTTTCCAGTTTTTTACTGCATTTTACAGATGATAGTAAATAAAAGCAAATCATATCTAGTCTAACAAGTAATTATTATTCTTCAGCTCTTAATTCATTTTAAAATTCTAGATAAACCTTTTTCTATTGAAAGAACGTAGCCTTTTTTATATATGGAAAGAAAACAAATGTCTTTGTCTTACTGCTGTTTTAGGAAAGGATGCCTTAAAATTACTCCATTGAAAAGGAACAGAAACTATAACTACACTTGGTCTTTGCAATCCAGTTTTCTGTTTTGCTTTAATTAAAAAGTAGATATCTTTTCCAAAATGGCACTGTTGATTTTAAATAACCCAATTATGTTTTTTAGAGTTTATAAATTCTAGATGTTCTACACAAAGAAAAGATACTCAGCCAATCTGTACTTTTTTATACCATTTCAGAAAGCCATATAAATAAATACTCAAAACCCACTGCCATCTAATCAGTATTTGACTCAGTTCTAGCTCTACTGCCATTGAGATGATTCAGGGTCCTAGCGACCCTTTAGGACAGGGTAGAACTACCCCTGTGATTTTCTGAAATTGTAACTCTTTACAGGAGTCCTGTCTTTCTCCCTTGGAGTGACTAATGGTTTCAAACTGCTGACCTTGCAGTTAGCAGCCCAACTCATAACCCCTATGCCACTAGGGCTTCTACCTTTGACTCATGCTGACCCTATAAAATGAGAGAACTGCCCACTTGCATTTCTAAGACTTCAATCTTCATAGGAGCAGACAGCCTCATCTTTCTCCCATAGAGCCACTGATAGGCTCAATCATTGCCCTTGCATTTAGCTGCTCAATGTGGAACCCACTATTCTACCATAAATAAATAGTTGCTATTGAAAACTATTGTAGGAGTCTCTGGGTTGTGCAAATAATTAAGTGTTCAGCTCCTAACAGAAAGGTTGGTGGTTCAAATCCACCCAGGGGCACCTCAAAAGAAAGGTTTGACCATCTTTTGAAAGCTTGTAACCATTTAAAAGTCCATGGAGTTTTTTTCACTCTGAAAATGTTTTTCGTATTTGCTTAGCTCCATATGGCTCTACTTTTGCTATAAAGAGGCTGTATGGGTTAACACTTTTTGCTGAACCCATGTTCTCAGTTCTACCCTCAATTGAATCCATGGCAACTAGTATTAAAAATATCAGTAAAGCACGATCATCAGTTGAAAACGCTTTTTTTCCTAAAGCTTGAACAGTTCTATTTGATTATTTATGTTTGCCCTGGCTTGTTACAAGAAGCCTTTAATCTCTGAACTTTCTTTATGATTGCCTTCTCTTAAATATTTGACAATAATTTAGTGAATGCTATGCTGGGACTCAAGGGACTTATTTTTAAACCTAACTCTGCTCCTAACTCACTAACAGCTAACATTTTCTGAAAGGACTTTTATTAAACATTTAGTATGTATCAGAACATATTGCAGTTATGATTTTATCTGGAAAGTATGTTGCAATAGGAGTTGAACAGGCCAGATTAAAATCTCTTTTCAGCCACTGATTAACTGTGCAACTTTGGAAACATTTCTTAAAGTACCTGCATCCTCCATCTGTAAATTGGAGATAGTCATACATTGGGGTGTGTTTTTTTTTCTCATGAACTTTTTGGAGCTCCTTCCTATGTATCACATAAGAAATAAGATAGCAAACATAAAGCTAAGCACAGACTAGAAAGCACATAGCCCTTTTACTTTTTACCACCAGCCATCACCAGAAAACTGAGGAGGTTAGGTTAATGATCTGAAAGGACCTTTACTGAATATTAACTCATTCTCTCAGGCCCATCACTTAGAAAACTAATTGGATGTCCACGTGTTCATTGTTCCTTTTTTAGATACTGCCCCAAATAAAAAACTGACTGCCATTGAGTTGATGCTGATGTACAGCGACCCTGTAGGACAAAGTAGAACTGCTGTTGTGGGTTTCCAAGGCCGTGCATTTTTACAGGAGTAGAAAGCCTCATTGTTCCCCTTGGTTCAAACTGCTGACTTTGTGATTAGCAGCCCATTGCATAATCCACCACACCTCCAAAGCTCCTTAGTTACTCTCTTTGGTTGTTCAAAGTATATGTAGGCCACAAACCCAAACATTTAAAATAAACTACAATTGTAGTGTTGATGAGTTAGCTTTTTGTGACAAGGACTATTATCTTTAGCCCTTATAGGCATTTTTACCAAAAACCCCACTGCCATTTAATTCAAACTCATAGCAACCCCAACTATTTTTACATGTATTGATGTCTACCATTACCTCCTATGCCCTCAGCTAACAGAAAAAAAAATGAGGGATAGGCTTTCCCTTCACTATCCTTATGAGAAAGACATCTGGTAAGGGAGCCATATGAACTCCTCCATAGCAGCTTCTTTCCTATCCCTGTATGAAGCTCAGTGACCACAAAGTTTTGGCTTTATTTGCACCATTTTTAACTGATGAAGCTAACTTGACCAGACTACTAGGTTCCTTTCAGGCTGTGCCTATTAACTCTGAGAACTCAAGTGGATTATTTTTCTTACCTATTAAATTAGGGAACTAGATCCCATGACCTACAAGGTGTTGCTACTTCAGTGCCATATAGAAATACCTTCTACATTCAACCACTTTTAAGGCCATCCATATCACATATATTCCCCGGATGGGGCCAGGTAATAGATGGTGAAACACTACCAATGTCCACTAAGTAAGATGCAGAGGCGGGATGTGGGGTGTGTGTGGGACAAACAATAAAAAGCTCAAAGCAGACTGATGAACTACCATTACCGTGTATGTGGAGCACATTGATGGCTACGGAAGAGCAGTATTGGTCCTTCCTACAAGAAGTAACACAGCCCTACAGATCTTAAATCGTTAATATAGATGAATGTTTTTATAGTCTGGGTCCACTATTTCTACTGCTCTATTTGTTCTTCAACCCCTGCAGTTGACTTTGTTTATTCCTCAGCCTCCTTTGGCATAACCTTGCCCTTTCCCCTTGCTCAGGCCTATGGAAACAAAGCATGCCTTTCAAAGCACAAAACTAGCATGCTACCACTTCTTTCTCATGTCTTCCTAAACACTCTTAACCTCAGAGACATCTGGCCAGAAACGGACTCTCTTCCACAACCTCTGTAGCTAGCTCTATGACTTGTTTTGGGGTAGTTATCTATCCAAAAGGCAAAATACAGGTAGCTCTCTTGTATTTGTTATCTCTTTTTGTGGCCTGGTTTTATACAATGGTTTGAGCACTTTAGGATCAGATATAAAACGTGTTTTTTTCTTTCAATGAACCATAGAATCCAGAATAGATTTCTCAAATCCTAATAAATTCTAAAAAGAGAAGTAAAATTGTTTTTTGCAAATTACTGGCAGCATATCATTCACAGTAATACATAGTTAGTTAAAATCTTACCCTTCAAAGTAGAATACAGTGATGTGTATTAAAGAAGAAAATATGTTTTGTAGGGGACCTACTAAAGCAACAGAAATTGTATTGTTCAATAGAGAAAAGAATTTAGACTATCCAACTATAGCCAGATTGATTAATTAAAACTAGAGAAAGCCTTTGCTATATATTTCTTAAAAATACTTTACCTTTTTATATTTTTTCATAACATCTATTACACAGCATATTTTTTTAAAAGATCTGCCTTTAAGTCTAAGAAGTACTGAACTCTACCCTGCAAAGAACCCAGTTATACTATGCCCATGACTCCACAGGAGATTTACTTCAGGAAGCGTGAACTGAAGTGTATTTTTACTGCTGGGTCTTAAAGAAAAAAAAGCAGGAGCCATTTTAGAGCAACAGGCAAGTGTACAGTAGCGAATATATTTGCAGTTATGTGACTAAAGCCAGCCCCCTGGGTAATTATAATTCTGTAGTGTATACAGGTGTTTAGCTGTGAGTTCCTACTTCCTTACTTGAAGTTGTGCATAATAATTCCTGAGTCAAAGGGTTTTGCAGGAAAATATCCCTGCGTGTGACTAAAACTAGACTAGATAACTGAAACGAGCAATTAGCCCTCTTTTGAAATGCTTTCTGGGTCAGAAGAAAAGTTTCTGCCTTCCATTAACCTAGCGTCCTTTTCCCTGCTCCTCTGACTGTAGAAATTCCAAACCTATTGATAAGGAGCTTTCCCTTCCCCAGCGAAAACTGAGCCGCCTAGGTGTGCCACAGCTGCCAGTTAGCCCGGTCACGTGGCCCCTGAGTGCACGCCCCCGGCGGCCCCGCCCCCAGAGCCTTGAGGTGGGTGTGCTTTTACTCCGCCGCAGACGCTGTGAGCTCCACCGCCGGGAGGAGACTTGGGCAAATGGCTGCCCAGGGTGGCTGAGCACTCCGCCGACAAGCCTGTGTGACTGTCGTGAGCCGGTCAGGAGGGCTGCGCGGTGTGGGTCGCTTGTAAAGCCTGGGAGGAATACCTGCTAAAGCATGGTGGCGCATGATGAGATTGGAGGTCTCCTACCTATTAAAAGGACGATTCGAGTCCTAGATGGGAATAATCAGTCCTTCCGAGAGCAAGAGGTAAGACTGTAAGGGGAAACGTAAGCCAAAAGGAATGTTTTCCAACTGTGAAAACTTTTAAGAGATTTAACAACAACAAAATATTTTATAGTATAGTTTATAACTTTTGATCTAGCACTGTAAGCTTGGTTTTGACTTTATCCAAGTTTGAAATGTGTTCAGAAACTAAGGCATTTACCGGTATTTAAGTAGGTGGGTTTATAGTTTATCATGAGTGAACACAAACTTCCATATGAAAGAAAAAAGATTTTAAGTGTATAAAGTACTCGGTTTGGTTAAGTTGGTCACTTCTTTTGATTATTAGAATTTAGATTGTGTGGGGTTTCCTTGGTTGTTTTTAAAATGTATTTACATTAGTACTTAACAGACTCCTAGGAACTGCTTAGGGAGTGAGATGGAAAATAAGAATCTCTTCGTTGAAAGTTAATGTTAGTGAACCGACTACAGCCAAAGTACTATCTGACCTGGTGTGTGCGCGTTCTTTTTCTTTCCACATCTAATAAGTTTAGTATGTACTCCCACTTTTCAGAAAGAAAGAGCTTAAAGCATTTAAGCCCAATGCCTTGCTTTGTCTGGATTCATTGTAGTTTTTAAAAATATTCATGAACATTTATCAAGATAAGTCAAATGCTGTTTATATAGTTTTATGTAATCTTTACAGTTGCTTTAATGTGATATAATATTGTATTGGTATATACGATGTACTAAAATGTATATATGTACTCTATCAATTACGTATGTTAGGAATAGTGTTCCTGAATTCAGTCAACCATACACCTCCTGTCTTGATTGTGGCCATGTTTTCATGGGTGTAGACCTACCTGTGCCTTATCTTAACCATACATTTTAAATATGTGCAGTTTATTGTATATTAGTCATACCTCAGTAAACTTAATTAGACACGTACAACATACACTTTTGGGTAGTTGAACTAGTTGCTGGAGTAGGAGGTAAGCTTTTATTCGGTGTGGTTTGGCTTGGTTTTTGTTTTGCTTGTTTATTTTTGCTTATGTATATGCTTCGGTTTTCTAGACTTGTCCATACAGGTATTAAGCAAGTTAAATACACGCTCATCAGTGTAGCTATGGAAGCTGATCATTTACGTCTGGACAATCAGGGTCAGGAGCTAGTCGTTTCTGTCTGGTATCAGACATTGCCCTGCTTCTGGCACACCTTTACTGGAAAGATGAATACTGGGAAAATTGGCAGGTTTTTAGAACTAGAAACACACAGCCTTCAAGAAATGACCTCATTTGAGTATTTTTATTTCTCTCCCTACTAAATAGGGAAGAAATCCTCTCATAGCTCTTTTTTAAAAAATCTTTTTAAAAATAGCCTTTCTATTTCCATCCTTATTTCTTGTGAAATAGGAAAGAAGATTGTTTATTGCATAATCCAAATAAATAAATCTTGCCACATACAGGAGCATTGAAAAGGTTCTTGGAACAACTCCATTGTCTTTGAGTCCATTTTTCCACAAACTTTTAAAGTCTATTAAGTGACATCATTATTGGAAGGAAAACTATTTTACAAAAATCTGAAAGCATTACAAGATTTTAACCTTTTTGGGGTTAAACCTTTTCTAGAATGCACAGGACTTCTGAACCTACTAGTAGATTGTGTAGCTAATTAATTAATCATTTAATCTGAAGGCAGATTTCATATAATAGTGCATGTGGTTGCCTAGTTAAACTAGACAGTCTGATTAAAAGTTAACCTAAATTTATGTCATGGCTGTTGGGTTGATGTTTTTCCTTCCAAGTAGACTTTAACCCTGATGAAAGATTATCTTTTGTACCAAGTTTCTTGAACATGTTTGTATTCTTTGTTTCCAATAATATTCAGATTGTCTTTTAAGGAGAGGGCATAGTTTGAATATCTATAACATTGTGGCCAGGACTCCAAAATAACCTTTACTTTTGGTAGGACATACTGCTCTCTTATCACCTCAGATATTGTATCTGCATTGGGTGTGCGCATGTGTGTAATTTCAGCTCTCTAAAAAGATTGTCCTAGAAATGTATTTTGTGACAATGCAAATATTTAGGTTATTAATAATTAAAACAAGGTAGTTAAGATAGATTAACTGGGGCTCTAAAGAAAAACTATTTTTAATGTAGTTCACATGGATCAAATCCAAACCTTTTTCAAAAGGCACAGCTTTTTAACCCAATATTATAGGCCACACATGTCTGCCTAATCTATACCACCCTTTCACAAAAGTACTCTGGTATTTCCCCCCACATAGTATATGTATCCTAGAATTAGTAGTATGCTATGCTGTAACCCATATTTGGTATTATGCATGTACAAATCCCATCACACTTTGTTTTTTTTAATTGGCAAGTTATTTTATCCATTAAAACTCTCTGAAGTCTTGAAATATAAACACTAAGTGTTTCTGTGGTTTCTGCCAAATAATTTTTCCATGTGCCCCTTAAGTAAAGCTGGAAAGGTGCTAATGGATGGCCAAAAGGATATTGAAGAACAGGAACGCCGCCCCCCCCCCTCATATTACCTGATTTAATACCACAATTTCTTACTAAACAAGACATTTAAAACTAGATACACTCTTAAGAGTAACATATCTTTTGTAGAGAAATGAGATATAGACTAGTTTTTAAAGGACTCTGGAAAATATTTAACCAAGGACTGCTTTGCATAATTTCTTGCTGCCCTAAATAAACAGCATTAAGAAATTTATATTAGTTTCTGAAAATGCTTTAGTAAATATATTTGCATTTAATTGTCTAAATCCAAATTGTTTAGATTTAGTGGTATCACATAATTTTGAGTTACAAAGAAATTAGTAATTGTATAGTAACTGAAATGTTAACATGGGAATTTTTTTATCTCTAATTTGATTTTATATAAAAGACCATTATAAAAAAATCTTTCATCTCAGCTAAACGGATTTTTTCTTCCAAATTCACTGGGAGAAGCACCTCTCCAAAGGCGTAAATTGAAATGAAATATTTTGTGATTTATTCAGAAGTCAGATATTGTTTTACTTTAAACAAGGAAGAACAGATTTCCTGACAACTGCTTGGTTTCTAGTTAATGTTGGCATATCTGACTCTGTGAGGTAATTATATCTCCATTCAAACAGAAGACTCTTTGTACTGCCTTTACTAAATAGAAAGGAATGCCTTGTGCACATGCATGTGTCACTTCAGTCTTGCACAGATGGGTATGGTGAAGGCATCCACGCATGGCCTTGGTCACCATGTGTGAGTTTACTACATAACTTGAAGGCTTATTTTTCAGTTCATTCAGTATTTGCACATTCATGGCTCTATATTCCATGTTTTATTTTTGAGTTTAATTTGGGGGAGATGGTTATCTAAAACCCTACCTCTTGAGGCCTTTACGGGTTCTGAGCTCACATTGATTATATAGAATAGAATGTCTTTTTACTGTAGTAGTTCCAATTCCTTTCTAACCTAGAAGAAGGTGTCCAAAAGTGTGTGCAAAATGGAATGCAAAGATAATGAAGTTTAGCGTTTGGAAGCCTTCTGGTAGATGTACATATTTAGGAACTTTAATGAAGCTACACTTCACCATTAGATATTTGAATAATTTATGTTTCATTCTTTCCAAAGACTTTTTAACTCTTTCTACCATTTTATTCTTGTTACTCTAAGGAAATTATTTGCACTCAATTTCTTCGTCCTTAAGGTCTAACATTAAACATTTGATCATCATTTATTACATTTAAAGTCAACTTTTATGAATTTCTCCATATCAAAGAATATTTAGAAAAAAATGTTACTTCTATTGTATTTTAAATGGCAGTTTTATGTATTTTTCAAATATATATAGCCTTCCAAATTCTCATCAAAATATTTTTCATTAAGTATAAAGGCATCAAATACAGACAAGACAGTACTATGTATACATTATAAAGGATAAACTTGCTTTATGATCTTAAGTTTTGAGACCCTGGAACAAGTGATGCTTGCTCTACTGTTATTTTTAAAGCAATACATGTATAATAAAATTTTTTGATGAAGCTTTAAAAAGTTTGTGGAAAAATGGAATTAAAAGGTAGTGGAATTTTCCCACAGAATTTTAGAAGCCACCTTGCATTTTCCCATTAAGTTAACAAATACATGCAAAATGATCAATATATTTATAGTTTTCAGTGTTTAAGTAGTAAGTGGAACATTCCCTAAGAAAGAATGTTGGCAGTAAGTAACATTTACTATGTGCCAAGTACTATTCTGAGCCCGTTAAACATATGTAATCTTCACAACAATTTTATAAGGGACTGTTGAGCCCCTATTGTACAGATGAGAAAACTGAGTCCCAGGGAACCACTTAACAAGGGCTACAACCAGGACTTCGATTCAGGCAGTCTGATTCCAGAACCATTTTGTGCTCTTAACCACTATATTCTGCCTTAATTAATATAGTCTTTTACTTAAATACCTTCCATTGACAGAGACCTCCTGCTTGCAGAATTGACCCGTTTGAATGTCAGGCATCTTTATTCTCTAACCCAGGCATCCTCAAACTACAGCCCGAGGGCCACATGCGGCCCACGAAGGACATGTATCCTGCCCGCCGGGTGTTTTTGCCCCTTTTGTTTTTTTACTTCAAAATAAGATAAGTGCAGTGTGTATAGGAACTTGTTCATAGTTTTTTTTTAAAACTTTAGTCCAGCCCTCCAACAGTTCTGAGGGACAGTGAGTGAACTGGCCCCGTTTAAAAAGTTTGAGGACCCCTGCTCAGTAACCTAATGTATTTGAAAATGAAATGCTATGAAGTCTAGAGTTTGCTTTGGAATATTCTAGTAGAGGCAGAGAGGAAACAAATTGTTATACTGAAAACTGAAGCTGCATGCTAGGTGCATGGGATTCACTAATGCTGTTGTCTATTTTTGTGGGGTTGAATTTATTTGTAACTGTTCTTTACATGTGAAACTAAAACCTTTTATATGGTTTTAGAATCAAATTTATTTTAATTTTAGCTTTTTTCCTAATGGTAATATTCGTTGCATTCTCAAAATGCTAGTCCAATATTTGGTCGGTCTTACACTATTTAGTTTGTTCTGTTTTGTAATAAACCACTGCTTTTCTATGTAAACTGTTTTAACAAGAACAACATCCATCTTCAGAGTTCCGTGTTTCTCTGTTACATAATGTGCAAACACTGTTCTGTGAAAGGGCTTACCTTTGTTTGCCCTGACGTGTTTGAAGTCGTTGAGCCTGTGCATACATTTAGTATGACCTGTTTTGTTTTGTTTTGTTTTCACAGGAGCCAAGCAATAAAAGAGTCCGATCTCTATCTCGGGTCTCATCCTTGGCAAACTTAATCTCTCCTGTAAGAAATGGAGCAGTCAGACGCTTTGGCCAAACAATACAGGTAAAAAAATGGTGGGGACTAATGTGAGGAGGGGATCTTTTTATAGAAACATAAATTTCGTGCTTTTCATTGAACTGTACAAACAGATTTGTACTGTTTTACTTAAATGTGCTTTGCTTGGTGGAATATATGGGTGAAGGTATGTTGTTACTAAAGCCATATTTGTATAACATATCTTTTATCAGAGGAGAGACTTCAATAATATTTATACCTCATGAGTCATTCTGACTGCGAAGTGCTTTAGAATTATTCATTGGAACTTGAATAAATGATTTTTCATTCATTTAGAAATTCTCAGAAGTAAGAAAAATTACCCCACCAAATCTTATTTTCTCTTTCAAAGTCCTTTACACTTCGTGGTGACAGCAGATCCCCGGCTTCTGCCCAGAAGTCATTCAGCAGGTCAACAGTCCCAACACCCACCAAAAGGAGAAACAGTGTCCTCTGGTCCGAGATGCTAGATGTCAACATGAAGGAGTCTTTAACTACGAAAGAAATCAAGCGCCAGGAGGTAGGCTTGCATTTATTATCAAGGCTACAGCTCTTAGGGCAGCGGTTCTCAACCTGTGGGTCACGACCCCTTTGGGGATCGAACGACCCTTTCACAGGGGTCGCCCGATTCATAACAGTAGCAAAATGACAGTGGTGAAGTAGCAGTGAAGATAATTTTATGGTTGGGGGGGTCAACCACATGAGGAAGTATATGAAAAGGGTTGGGCATGAGAAAGGTTGAGAACCACTGTCTTAGGGTATACTTAAAAAAAAAACGGCATAGGCAGTGGGGTTTATACTTTTTAAACTTATCTTTTGCTAGAAGGGCAACAAACTAATAGCTTTGGCAAAATTAGCCTGCACGTTTTATAGTTGAGCATAACACATGCTGGGCATCACTTTGCAATTGGTGGTCATCAAATGAAACAACTCTACTGGGTGAAATTATAAACCACTGAGTCACTTCAGGGAAGGCACTGTTTAAAACATCAGCTAAATAATGTAGATATCATTTGTATATAATTTTCTTTTTTAAAAGGAGGAAATTACTTATGATGTTTGCTGTTTGGGTTTTTTTAAGGCAATATATGAAATGTCCCGAGGTGAACAGGATTTAATTGAGGATCTCAAACTTGCAAGAAAGGTCAGTGACTAACTTGCTTTCTGTGTGCTCTATTGCTCGTTGCCGTTGAGTCGTCCTCTGAGCCGCGCCGTCTGTGCAGCTGGTAGAGGGAACTGTTCCTGGAGGCGTCGAGGCTGAGGGCTTTCAGCATCAGATTGCCAGACCTGTCTTCGGAGGTTCCTCTGGGTGGGATAGCATGTGCCCTAGTTATTTAATTTCATTTTATAACTTCAAAGGGCTATTTTCTTAAATGGAAGAGTAGAAAATAACTACTGATGAGTCCTTTTTTTTAAAAGATGAAGTGTTGAGTGTTAATACGATTCTGTTTGAGGATTAACATATACTTATTACTTTGATGGTGGCAAACAGATTCCACACTAGCTTTTATAGAGTTAGTCATGTTTGTATCAAAGTATACTTCAGTTGGCATGTTTTATTTGCTTGATCTTTTGGTGTAACGCATTTCTCCCCTCTGACAGGCCTACCATGACCCCATGTTAAAGCTGTCCATTATGTCAGAAGAGGAACTCACACATATATTTGGTGATTTGGACGCTTACATACCTCTGCATGAAGGTTAGATAATGCTCATTAATTTTCATTGGGGCAGGGGTGTCTCAATCGCAGTTACATAATTTTAAATCCTAAGTGTCTAATTTAGTGCTGAGTTGTTTTTTTAAATAAACCCATTATTTGGTATTTCTGCATTTTTACCCTTCAGATTTGTTGGCAAGAATAGGGGAAGCAACCAAGCCTGATGGGACAGTGGAGCAGATTGGTCACATCCTTGTGAACTGGGTATGTCTGAGTTGTTTACTTAGGGGAGCTATTTGCTGATGTCATCCTTGCAGGTGGTGATGCGTATCAGAGCAATTTGATCCATTCACATGGGATTCTACAAGCACACCATGCATTGAAATGCAACATTATAACATAGGTTTAACAGTTATAGTCTCTATTCAAAGCAAAACAAAGCGTTAGTTTGTGAGTGGTAGTGTTTTATTTGTTTTACATGTATTTCCTTGAGCAGAAATCCATATTACATGCCACTAATTATTTGTTTCATTCTTGCGATTGACATTTAAGGACCAGGTGCTAGGCCTTGATCTAAGACCTAGGGAGTCAGTGGTGAAGGACAACCTCTGCCCATGGCAGTTAACATTTTGTGAGACAAGGACAGGTAAATAAACAGTCTGAGGGAGCAATGGTTTTGATGGAGGAAGAACATGTTCAGTGCATTGGGAATTCCGAAGATGAGCCCGTAACTAAACTGAGATGGCAGGAGGAGGAGTCAGGAGTCTTTAGTGGAGTAAATTAGAAAAAGGTGTTTCGGGTTAGCCCAGAGTACTCTCCCCCTCCCATAATCACGTGCAGAGCATTTCCAGAGCTGACTTTAATATTCTCAGGATTAGTTGTGGATTTTTGTTTCACAGTTATAGGTTTATTAATGGACCAAATCATAACAGGACTTCATCTTTGTTTCCCTTTAATTTCTCCACAGTTGCCAGGCTTGAATGCCTACAAAGTCTACTGTAGTAACCAGCTCGCAGCGAAAGCTCTCCTTGATCAAAAGAAACAAGATCCAAGAGTCCAAGACTTTCTCCAACGATGTCTTGAGTCTCCTTTCAGTCGAAAACTAGATCTCTGGAGCTTCTTAGATATTCCTCGAAGTCGCCTGGTCAAATACCCTTTATTGATCAAAGAAATTCTCAGACATACTCCCAAAGATCACCCTGATGTTCAGCTTCTGGAAGAAGCTGTAAGTTTTTTCAAATTTGTGCACTAGATTGTCTCAGAAAAGTATAAAATGGTGTTCTCAATCTTATGTACATTGATTTGGCATAGTGAAATTTTTTTCCACTCTCAGCTGGCAACTCTCTCCCCGGGTGGTGGTTTTAAATACCCATTACATCGGTGCACTGTGCACTAAGCAGTAAGAAGATGTAGTTGCGTTGCTTTTAGCACATTTTTAATATTTCTATCTGTATCAAGAGAGTGAGTCTTCATCTGATCTCTTCACTAGCTGGATGTGTGACCTTGGGCAGATCACCTAATCCTGTTGGGGTTGTTTCTTCTGAATGGTGAAATATCTGAATGTACTGATAAGGAAGTGGAGTATAAATTAGCATACTAAAGTTACACCGTCTTTTTGGACAACTTTTAGGTACTGATAATCCAAGGCGTTCTCTCTGATATCAACTTAAAGAAAGGTGAATCAGAATGCCAGTATTACATTGACAAACTGGAATACCTGGATGAAAAGCAGAAGGACCCTAGAATTGAAGCAAGTAAAGTATTGCTTTGCCATGGGGAACTGAAGAATAAAAATGGACATGTGAGTATATTGAGCACCAGTGTGCAGTGAGCTACTACTCCCTTTCCTCACATAAAGTCTGAAGGAAGACTGTAAAACAATCACATAGTAAAAGAAGGTTACAGGGCTTGCTTGTTTGTTTTTATGTGATTGGTTTTAATAAGGGAAGCATTTTGTTTCTATAGTTACTGAAAAAATACGATGATAAATGTGTCAGTGGAGCCCCAATAATACTTTACTTTTTAACTTTGAAACATAAATCAACTTATTTGGCTAGAATTCCCTTTCTAAATAAATTATTCTATAATACTTAATGAAAGAAAAAGAATATCTTTCAAAATGTATTTTGAAATTTACTTTCCTAATGACAGAAGTAGTTTTTAAACACTATTAAACACATTTCTAAAGCAGATTGCATGAATGCAGACTGATTTTAAAATATCTGAATTACAGAGTACCTGTTAGAACTAAAGTACAGTTGTGGAATGGTGTTTATATGGCTTGGGTTTATTTGGGAAATCTGACCTGATTTCCAGCATGAGGCTTAATTGAAATTTTATAAAGGCTTAAATTTGTGTAGGACAAAATAGAGCCATTAACATTTTTACCAACTTGCATTTTCTAATCCCTACTTTGTTAGAAAACTGTGGCATACAACACTGGTGTTTCCAGTCATGTTACTCCTGATAGTTAGGCCTTTGTAATGTGTAGTGTTTGCTTAGCTGATGCTTCATCTAATATTACACACCAGTTTGAAGAAAGACTGTCTAGATTCTGAGATTAGGAAAACATTCAAGTAGAGAGCAGGCATCGCCATCTTTGAGGTTATTTATACAAGAGAGATTAAATTTGAGGAAATCAATAATCACAACTTATTTTAATAATATAAGCGCTATGTGAGATGCTTAAAAATAGAGTCCATATTGATAAGCTTTGATGTCTGTTTTCCAGAAACTTTACATTTTCCTGTTTCAAGACATCTTGGTTTTGACTCGACCTGTTACGAGAAATGAGCGCCACTCTTACCAGGTTTACCGGCAGCCGATCCCTGTGCAGGAGCTGGTGCTGGAAGACTTGCAGGATGGAGATGTTAGGATGGGCGGGTCCTTCCGAGGGGCTTTCAGCAACTCAGATAAAGGTGAAAATGAATAATGTTTGACATGGAAAGGGGTGTGGGGAGGACAGGGGCTACGGGGTGTTTGTCTCTACACGCACAACCAAACATGTTGTACTCATCAGGGTGTCAACGTCCATCATCCCTCTGACATCAGAAGCTGTGTCTGATAAGTAACCAAGACCCACGTAGCACTTGATAACTTTGTTTTGTTCTCTTTTGATGATTTCTAGCTAAAAATATCTTCCGAGTTCGCTTCCAAGACCCCTCTCCAGGCCAGTCTCATACCCTCCAAGCCAACGACGTGTTCCACAAGCAGCAGTGGTTCAACTGCATCCGAGCAGCGAAGGCCCCCTTCCAGGAGGCCGCCAGCCCCACGGAGCTCACAGGTTTGCCAGAGCTCAGTGAAGAGTGTGAGGAGAACAGCCTGTCCGCGTCCAACGTCCAGGCACAGAGAAGGGTCTCAACAGTGTCCACCATCCTTCAAGTAGACGTGGAGGAAAATGCCCCCGAATGTGGGCCTAGTGTGCAGACAGCTGAGGAAAGCAGGAGTGTAAAAGCAAACCGGACGCAGTCTGGGTTCCGGAAAGCAAGGGACAGAGCCCAGTTAAGTGGCAAACGGAAAGAGACTTTGGTATGAAGAAAACTGCATTCACAGATGGGGACACTATTTATAAATGTGTACAGTTTTTGTTGTTGTTTGTGTTGTAACGTGAGTGTGGAAGTATTATAGGGGTTACTTTGTACCCAATTTAATATTTCCATGTTTTTTGTTATTGTTCTTTTTTTTAATGGCAGCTAAAATGACAGTTTTTTAAGAATATAATTTTCTTGGTTTCTTTAGCACATGAAAGCCTGGTATCTTTGGGCAAATGAAACATGCATAAATGTTTTTTTCCTATTCTCGGTTCATCACAACTTTGCAATACCAATCAATTGTGCTATTTATACTATTTGACCAAAATTAGAATTTTTTCAAATACTGAAATTTTACCAGTGTCTCTTTGAGAAAACTTGCATGCAGAATTTGAGATCATACCCTGGGTATCTAAAATTTACATGGAATATATATTTTGCAGTATTTCAAAATTTATATTGAGATATAACTTCCTTGGAAAACAAACCATAAAACCCTTATAGGTTTTCCATTTTATAAACTGGAATGCTTTATATTAGTTTGTTTTTTCACTGCACATTCCTCATTCATTTAACCTGCCGATTATTTAATTTTTTTTATTATAAAGTAGCTTTTAGTTATTTGCTTTTATTTTTTTACTTGATGTCCTTTCAAATCGACATGTTCTTAAAGTATTTTTCTTTGATTTAAAATGTGTGTGTACGTATGCGTGTGTATATATATATATATACATATATATATTTTTAAATCATATTAACTTTACCAAGTGAAACCAAGCCATACTGTTTTTGAGCCAATTAGAAAATCACAGTGATTAAAGTGTAGCATTTTGGGGTGGTGAAAGTAAATGAAATGACTTAGTATATTCTAGACTACTGAACGAAAACCACCTTACGAACTGAGTTGAAAGTCGTAGCATGGACTGAAAAGCAAGAGGGAAAACAGGATGATTGGTAATAGGTTTTTGTGTTTTGTTTTGCTTTAAAGAGGGGAAAAGAGAGTCGTTTTGTCTTAAAGTAGAATGTCTGGTTGTGCCAGTATGTGAGCGATAGTGAAGCTCAACTTGAGGGTATGTAGTAAGTTGTAGAAGGTTTAAGGGGAAGTGAACTTTATTTGCCTTGGTTTACAATACCAGCAAATAATGCGTTTGAAAAGAAGCGATGAGGTGTTTTGAAGTCTTTACAGAGTAGATCAGTTGTGGTGGACTTATTCATAGGATAGTAAAAAAGGCTGGTGAACCTCTCACTGCAGAATGCTGTATGAGTGGCAATACTTTGTATTAAAAAAGGAGGGAGAATCATAGTCTTTAAAAAGGGGTAAACAGAGTGGGCCCCAAACCATGTGTCATGGCAGGTTTATAATGCCAATCGGTTCAAGTAAATGTTGACTATTATGTGAAATATATTTGGCCAGTGAAAATGAAAATTGGAAAAGATTGTAAATAGATCACTCCAAATGATTTCTCTGTATAAATGAATTATACAATTAAAAAACAAAAAAAACCCACCAAATCACCCTAAAGCTTTCTCACCTGTTTGTGTCCGGAGCATTTTCAGGAGTCCGTTGGTGAGGCGTTGGAGGTCATGGCAAACTTCACTAAAGGCCATGAGGATCAGCAAGTCTTGGGAATCCATTATTACGCTTTTAGGAAAACAGAAATCATAAATAAGCAGTTGTGTTGAAGATAAGTAAACCTCTAACCTCATGATAATAAATGCTAATAGCAATGCATTCAATTAATTTGGTTAATTTCAGAATACCATTTAGAAATCTTCAGGTTTCTAATTTTAGAACTTCTTAATTCAAATGTGGAATTACTTTGGTTGTGATCTGAAAAATCAGAAAACAAGATTTCTAGTCATTTCAAAAGGTATATAGAATAACCATTCTTTCATGAATGAACTTTGTCAACCTTTGAAGTTATAGACACAAGTTATGGTTCAAATGTTAATGAAATGGTGTTTCATCTAAAACTCTACCTTCCTTTGACTCCTTCAAGAGAGAAAATAAGACCTACAAATTAAGTAAATATATGAAATGAATGTTCTTTGGAAATAACACCTATATTTGAGAACATTTCGTGATCTAACTCAATAGTTCTAAAACCTGTTTGGCATCAGAATCACTGGGTCTATTAAAAAAAAATTTTTTTTTTAAAGATAACCCCCCTCTACCCCTAGACATCCCTATTTCACGGAATCCCTGTCTTGGGGATGAACAGGAAGACGGAATTTGCAGAGCACTCCTTCCTGGTAATTCTGATGCAGGGAGTTCCTTGGATCAACATAATCACTCATCTTGCCAATCACCTTTACATAAATTATATATTAATGAGTAACATCTATTAGTATTTCCTAGTTTGCCTTCAACTGTCCATGATCTGAGTTTCTTGAAGTCTGT